TGGGATGTGGACAGTGCTCCTCCCTCATGGGATGTGGACAGTGCTCCTCCCTCCTGGGATGTGGACAGTGCTCCTCCCTCATGGGATGTGGACAATGCTCCTTCCTCCTGGGATGTGGACAGTGCTCCTCCCTCATGGGATGTGGACAGTGCTCCTCCCTCATGGGATGTGGACAGTGCTCCTCCCTCCTGGGATGCAGATAGTGCTCCTTCCTCATGGGATGCGGACAGTGCTCCTTCCTCCTGGGACGTGGACAATGCTCCTCCCTCCTGAGATGTGGACAGTACTCCTCCCTCCTGGGATTTGGACAGTGCTCCTCCCTCCTGGGATGTGGACAGTGCTCCTCCCTCCTGGGATGTGGACAGTGCTCCTCCCTCCTGGGATGCGGACAGTGCTCCTTCCTCCTGGGATGTGGACAGTGCTCCTCCCTCCTGGGATGTGGACAGTGCTCCTCCCTCCCGGGATACGCCAGGGCTTTCCTCAAATGGGGGTCTACTGTTCCCTTCCAGGCAAGATGGAGTATTTCCTTACAGCCAGCTCTAAGACAGGAAGCTGTAGGAAAATTAGAGTATGCTTTTAGTTTCTGTGACCTACCTAAGAGAAGAAAAGTCTGGTTGCTGTGGCCTGCCTTTGAGAGACAAAAAGGACCAGTGAAAGGAGCAGGTGAAAGCAGTGGGAAACTTTGCCCTTTGACGTGCATCGGAGGCCTCCCCAGGCGGTATTCATCTAGTCTTTGAGAAAATTAAGACTTTGGGAGGTAAGCCTGGAGCTGTGGTTGAAAACGGAAAAATCTGTCACAGTACCATAACCATAGTAGGATCAATTATTTCAAAGCAATGTTTTCCTGTTTGGTTTAGTTTAATCTGATGGAACAAAGATATGCTATCTTATTGAGAGCATGATTGTGATTTTAATAGTCCTTGTTCCCAATCGTTTCTGTGACCTAGTTCACAGATATATCTTTGCTTTAAAAATCTCATCAGATCTGTGTCACACCGTGTGTGTGTGTGTGTGTGTGTGTGTGTGTGTGTATGCACGCGCGCGCGCGCATACGTGTACATATATATGTGATTCATATAAATGCATATGTGTGTGTGCGTCAATTCAAATGGTTTGTAATAATGATGCTGAATTCCCATGTGTCTTTCTCAGTAATGACTTTTTAATCTACAACAACATAAATAATAGCAGCGATTTATTGAGCATGCACTGTGTGCTAAGCACTACCTCCAGCACATACTAATACATTCTCACAGCGGCCCTGCAACATGGTTATGCTTGTAACTGTTTTGTAAGTGAGGAACCTGAGGAGTAGAGAAATAATATGAGCCCAGGCATAGTGATAGCATGGTGAACCCATGCCTTGTTCTCACCTGTGCTGTGTCATGAGGGGATGGTTCTCAAAATCAGAAAGATATGACACCGTTTATGAGAGACTTTGTTCTGAGAACCGGAACAGTAGGTGGTCTACGGGTTTAATCTCAGGGGATTGCTCTGTAAAAAGTACATGGATGCTCCTGTACAACGTACACTTTGAAGTCTTCTTCTAGTGTAATAAACCAAAATGAGAGCATGTTGTAGAGACTGGAGTTTGTAGATCTGGAGGGTTAAAAACCCCCGCTGTGTGGAAGTTTCTGAGTTGTGGGAGGAAGCCATGACTTCCCAACACATCTATTTGTTGGAGTGCTGTGTATTCTCAGACCCTCGCCTCTGTGCATTGTGTGTGTGTGTGTGTGTGTGTGTGTGTGTGTGTGTGTGTGCTGCAGAAACGGGATCATACTCTGTACCTTGCTATTCTCATTTCATGCAGTGATAGTTAGAAGCAATGTCTCCTATCCTTAAATATCTTCTACCCATTGGGGGGCAATTAATTCGTTTCTGAATTTTCACAATGAAAAACATCTGTATAGTAAACTTTTTTTTTTGTAGCTAGCTTTTTCCTAGAAACATATGATTTTTTGTTAAAGTGAATCCATAATTTTCTTAAAGAGTGGAACTGCTTGGCCTCGGTTCAGGCTCATTTCTGACCCCTTGCTCTGTGATGCCTCAAAAGATATATGCTTTTGAAACTGGGAGAGGCCTGAAAAGTTTCCTTCACTGCACTTGGCTCAGCCATTTCGACATCCAGGTGTGCCCCAGGGGTGTGTCCATTAGCCAGGTAGGTGAGTGTGCTCTGAGGGGTGTGTCCATTAGCCAGGTGGGTGAGTGTGCTCTGAGGGGTGTGATCCTTAGCCAGGTGGGTGAATGTGCTCTGAGGGGTGTGTCCATTAGCCAGGTGGGTGAGTGTGCTCTGAGGGGTGTGATCATCAGCCAGGAGGTGAGTGTGCTCTGAAGGGTCTGCTCATCAGCCAGATAGTTTTAGCTCTCAGTGAATCCCTTTTGGGAACATGTGGCAGTGTTCAGTGTCAGCACAGTAGCTGACAGCTGGTGGTGAGAACAGACCTGGACAGTACAGTAGGGAGGCTCTCATAACAGAGTGATCCGGTCCAGGGTGTTGCTAATGCAACAGAAACCCTGGAAAGATCCAGGGAAGCCTACTGGCACTCTTGAACTTTGTATTGCTATCTCCTTTCTCTGAGAACCCACACACTTCCTGTCCACCTCTGCTCCAGGCTGGTAGATGGACTTTCTCCAAACTCCTGCTCTTCATCAGATGACAGATCCTGCCTGCTCTGCAGGCCCGCCTCTAGGTCCGTATCCTTGCGTGGCCACGCAAGTTCTTGATGACTCATGATGCTTGTGCCTCTAGGAAAATAATTAAAACATGTCATTAACTTTTGAAACAAAACCGACTTGCTGGTTATATTAACAGCCTGACTGTGATTTGATCAGCATGTAACCACTTAAAAGGATCGCTTCTTTTTCCCTGGCTGTATTAGGGATTGAATCAGGACATCAGGTGTGCCAAGTATGGTGTTCTGCCACTGATGTGGATGATTACTAAGAAAGCCAATATAGAGCATCCACTCCATTTTGGCAGCAGCCACTCCATTTTGGCAGCAGTGATTTCCTGCCCTCCATATCGTGCTATGTTTTTTAACTGAGTATTTCAACTCTGAAAGGCAGTTTTTGTTTGCAGGAGGATGTGGTTTAAAGTGTTTCCCACAGTTCACATGTGGAAACTCAACCCCTAGTACACCAGGGCTGAGAGG